TACCAACAGTGTCTGACCCCCACATCTACCAACAGTGTCTGACCCCCACATCTACCAACAGTGTCTGACCCCCACATCTACCAACAGTGGAGTGTCTGACCCCCACATCTACCAACAGTGTCTGACCCCCACATCTACCAACAGTGTCTGACCCCCACATCTACCAACAGTGGAGTGTCTGACCCCCACATCTACCAACAGTGGAGTGTCTGACCCCCACATCTACCAACAGTGTCTGACCCCCACATCTACCAACAGTGTCTGACCCCCACATCTACCAACAGTGTCTGACCCCCACATCTACCAACAGTGTCTGACCCCCACATCTACCAACAGTGGAGTGTCTGACCCCCACATCTACCAACAGTGTCTGACCCCCACATCTACCAACAGTGGAGTGTCTGACCCCCACATCTACCAACAGTGTCTGACCCCCAAATCTACCAACAGTGTCTGACCCCCACATCTACCAACAGTGGAGTGTCTGACCCCCACATCTACCAACAGTGTCTGACCCCCACATCTACCAACAGTGTCTGACCCCCACATCTACCAACAGTGTCTGACCCCCACATCTACCAACAGTGTCTGACCCCCACATCTACCAACAGTGTCTGACCCCCACATCTACCAACAGTGTCTGACCCCCACATCTACCAACAGTGTCTGACCCCCACATCTACCAACAGTGGAGTGTCTGACCCCCACATCTACCAACAGTGGAGTGTCTGACCCCCACATCTACCAACAGTGGAGTGTCTGACCCCCACATCTACCAACAGTGTCTGACCCCCACATCTACCAACAGTGTTTGACCCCCACATCTACCAACAGTGGAGTGTCTGACCCCCACATCTACCAACAGTGTCTGACCCCCACATCTACCAACAGTGTCTGACCCCCACATCTACCAACAGTGTCTGACCCCCACATCTACCAACAGTGTCTGACCCCCACATCTACCAACAGTGTCTGACCCCCACATCTACCAACAGTGTCTGACCCCCACATCTACCAACAGTGTCTGACCCCCACATCTACCAACAGTGTCTGACCCCCACATCTACCAACAGTGTCTGACCCCCACATCTACCAACAGTGTCTGACCCCCCACATCTACCAACAGTGGAGTGTCTGACCCCCACATCTACCAACAGTGGAGTGTCTGACCCCCACATCTACCAACAGTGTCTGACCCCCACATCTACCAACAGTGTCTGACCCCCACATCTACCAACAGTGGAGTGTCTGACCCCCACATCTACCAACAGTGTCTGACCCCCACATCTACCAACAGTGTCTGACCCCCACATCTACCAACAGTGTCTGACCCCCACATCTACCAACAGTGTCTGACCCCCACATCTACCAACAGTGTCTGATCCCCACATCTACCAACAGTGTCTGACCCCCACATCTACCAACAGTGTCTGACCCCCACATCTACCAACAGTGTCTGACCCCCACATCTACCAACAGTGTCTGACCCCCACATCTACCAACAGTGGAGTGTCTGACCCCCACATCTACCAACAGTGTCTGACCCCCACATCTACCAACAGTGTCTGACCCCCACATCTACCAACAGTGGAGTGTCTGACCCCCACATCTACCAACAGTGGAGTGTCTGACCCCCACATCTACCAACAGTGTCTGACCCCCACATCTACCAACAGTGTCTGACCCCCACATCTACCAACAGTGTCTGACCCCCACATCTACCAACAGTGTCTGACCCCCACATCTACCAACAGTGGAGTGTCTGACCCCCACATCTACCAACAGTGTCTGACCCCCACATCTACCAACAGTGGAGTGTCTGACCCCCACATCTACCAACAGTGTCTGACCCCCAAATCTACCAACAGTGTCTGACCCCCACATCTACCAACAGTGGAGTGTCTGACCCCCACATCTACCAACAGTGTCTGACCCCCACATCTACCAACAGTGTCTGACCCCCACATCTACCAACAGTGTCTGACCCCCACATCTACCAACAGTGTCTGACCCCCACATCTACCAACAGTGTCTGACCCCCACATCTACCAACAGTGTCTGACCCCCACATCTACCAACAGTGTCTGACCCCCACATCTACCAACAGTGGAGTGTCTGACCCCCACATCTACCAACAGTGGAGTGTCTGACCCCCACATCTACCAACAGTGGAGTGTCTGACCCCCACATCTACCAACAGTGTCTGACCCCCACATCTACCAACAGTGTTTGACCCCCACATCTACCAACAGTGGAGTGTCTGACCCCCACATCTACCAACAGTGTCTGACCCCCACATCTACCAACAGTGTCTGACCCCCACATCTACCAACAGTGTCTGACCCCCACATCTACCAACAGTGTCTGACCCCCACATCTACCAACAGTGTCTGACCCCCACATCTACCAACAGTGGAGTGTCTGACCCCCACATCTACCAACAGTGTCTGACCCCCACATCTACCAACAGTGGAGTGTCTGACCCCCACATCTACCAACAGTGTCTGACCCCCACATCTACCAACAGTGGAGTGTCTGACCCCCACATCTACCAACAGTGTCTGACCCCCACATCTACCAACAGTGTCTGACCCCCACATCTACCAACAGTGTCTGACCCCCACATCTACCAACAGTGTCTGACCCCCACATCTACCAACAGTGTCTGACCCCCACATCTACCAACAGTGTCTGACCCCCACATCTACCAACAGTGGAGTGTCTGACCCCCACATCTACCAACAGTGTCTGACCCCCACATCTACCAACAGTGGAGTGTCTGACCCCCACATCTACCAACAGTGGAGTGTCTGACCCTCACATCTACCAACAGTGGAGTGTCTGACCCCCACATCTACCAACAGTGGAGTGTCTGACCCCCGCATCTACCAACAGTGTCTGACCCCCACATCTACCAACAGTGGAGTGTCTGACCCCCACATCTACCAACAGTGGAGTGTCTGACCCCCGCATCTACCAACAGTGTCTGACCCCCACATCTACCAACAGTGGAGTGTCTGACCCCCACATCTACCAACAGTGGAGTGTCTGACCCTCACATCTACCAACAGTGGAGTGTCTGACCCCCACATCTACCAACAGTGTCTGACCCCCACATCTACCAACAGTGGAGTGTCTGACCCCCACATCTACCAACAGTGGAGTGTCTGACCCTCACATCTACCAACAGTGTCTGACCCCCACATCTACCAACAGTGGAGTGTCTGACCCCCCCCCCCCCCTCCCTCCACATCTACCAACAGAGTTAACCACAAGAGCCATAAAGGATATTTTGTCAGTCTGTGCACGTCCCAGAGACGTCCAAGAGACGTCCCAGAGACGTGCTGCCTCCCTTCCAAACGTGAGCGAGGAGGGAGGCGTGCAGTGGGGGGTGGGGGTGGATGGGGTGGGGGGTGGGGTAACAATGGAGGTCTGTTGTCAGGACGGAATCTAATTTCAGGCTGGTTGATGGAGATATCCAAGCTAGGGGCAGATAAATCAGCCTGACAAGTAATCTTGTTAGGCTTTGATCTACCCGGCCCCCGCCCTCCCCCCTCCTCGGGAGATCCTCAAAGTGGGCCTGCACACGAGTTGCACAATCTGCCCTCTATGTGCCCTCATTCTGCCCGGTGGTAGTTGGTGGGGCAGTCTTTGTTTGCACGGGCTGGTGGCTGAGGGGAGGGGGTGAGTAGAGTTGGGGATGGGTGACCTTTGGGTGGGGTGTGGGGGTGGGTTTGGATAAGTGGAGTGATGTAGTTATTTGTGTGTGGTGTGGGTGAGTTTCCCATGTTTGTGTGGGTGTGGTGTGAGTGTGGGTGAGGTTCCGATGTGTGTGGGTGTGGTGTGGGTGTGGGTGAGGTTCCGATGTGTGTGTGTGCGTGGTGTGGGTGTGCTTTGTGCGTGGTGTGGGTGTGGTGTGTGCGTCGTGTGGATGTGGTGTGCGTGGTGTGGGTGTGGGTGTGGTGTGGGTGTGGTGTGGGTGTGGTGTGTGCGTGATGTGGTGTGGGTGTGGTGTGGGTGTGGTGTGGGTGTGATGTGCGTGGTGTGGGTGTGGTGTGTTCTTGGTGTGGGTGTGGTATGTTTGATGTGGTGTGGGTGTGGTGTGGGTGTGATGTGCGTGGTGTGGGTGTGGGTGTGGTGTGGGTGTGATGTGCGTGGTGTGGGTGTGGTGTGTTCTTGGTGTGGGTGTGGTATGTTTGATGTGGTGTGGGTGTGGTGTGGGTGTGGTGTGCGTGGTGTGGGTGTGGTGTGTTCTTGGTGTGGGTGTGGTATGTTTGATGTGGTGTGGGTGTGATGTGTGCGTGGTGTGGGTGTGGTGTGGGTGTGTTGTGTGGGTGTGGTGTGTGCGTGGTGTGGGTGTGGTGTGGGTGTGGTGTGTGCGTGGTATGGGTGTGGTGTGGGTGTGGTGTGCGTGGTGTGGGTGTGGGTGTGGTGTGGGTGTGGTGTGGGTGTGATGTGGTGTGGGTGTGGTGTGGGTGTGGTGTGGTGTGGGTGTGATGTGCGTGGTGTGGGTGTGGTGAGGGTGTGGTGTGGTGTGGGTGTGATGTGCGTGGTGTGGGTGTGGTGTGGGTGTGGTGTGGTGTGGGTGTGATGTGCGTGGTGTGGGTGTGGTGTGTTCTTGGTGTGGGTGTGGTATGTTTGATGTGGTGTGGGTGTGGTGTGGTGTGGGTGTGGTGTGGGTGTGTTGTGTGGGTGTGGTGTGGGTGTGGTGTGCGTGGTGTGGGTGTGGTGTGTGCGTGGTATGGGTGTGGTGTGGGTGTTGTGTGGGTGTGGTGTGGGTGTGGTGTGGGTGTTGTGTGGGTGTGGTGTGGGTGTGGTGTGGTGTGGGTGTGGTGTGGGCGTGGTGTGGGTGTGGTGTGTGCGTGGTGTGGGTGTGGTGTGGGTGTTGTGTGGGTGTGGTGTGGTAAAGTCACACGTGCAGGGACATATGACCAGGTCTACACTTGACTTAAGTCATGCACATCGTCTGTTTCAAGTCATCTAGACACAGTATGACTCACCTTATGTGTCTGTGTGTTTATCTGACTGTGTGTGTGTGACATATCCCGCTTATCCTGTCCACATATCCCAGCAGTCCCACACATCTGACGTCAGGTCTGGGGAGAAAAACAACAACGGTCAACATGTGTGTCATGTTGTGTGGGGTACATGTGTGTGTGTGTGGGGGGGTACATGTGTGTGGGGGGTACATGTGTGTATGTGGGGGGGGGGGGGGTACACAAGTTGAAATCCCGACACGACAGTTTCCATCTTTTATCCATGACGTCATTTAAGCCCAGGCAACGATTGCAACACTCCCCCCCCCCGGTCCGCTAATGAGACGCTAGTTCCTGCAGTATTTAGCTGACGTAGACAGTACATCCTGTCCAATTAGCGACAGTCTGGTCCTAATTGGGTCCTCCCAGGTCCTGATGAGTCCTACATATGGTGCTGATTTGGGTCCTACATCACGTATTAATTGGGTCCTACATCACGTATTAATTGGGTCCTACAAAAGTATTAATTGGGTCCTACAAAACGTATTAATTGGGTCCTACAAAAGTATTAATTGGGTCCTACAAAAAGTATTAATTGGGTCCTACATCACGTATTAATTGGGTCCTACAAAAGTATTAATTGGGTCCTACAAAAAGTATTAATTGGGTCCTACAAAAAGTATTAATTGGGTCCTACATCACGTATTAATTGGGTCCTACAAAACGCATTAATTGGGTCCTACATCATGTATTAATTGGGTCCTACAAAAAGTATTAATTGGGTCCTACAAAAAGTATTAATTGGGTCCTACATCACGTATTAATTGGGTCCTACAAAACGTATTAATTGGGTCCTACAAAACGTATTAATTGGGTCCTACAAAGCGTATTAATTGGGTCCGACAAAACGTATTAATTGGGTCCTACATCACGTATTAATTGGGTCCTACAAAACGTATTAATTGGGTCCTACATCAGTATTAATTGGGTCCTACAAAACGTATTAATTGGGTCCTACATCATGTATTAATTGGGTCCTACAAAACGTATTAATTGGGTCCTACATCACGTATTAATTGGGTCCTACAAAACGTATTAATTGGGTCCTACATCACGTATTAATTGGGTCCTACAAAACGTATTAATTGGGTCCTACAAAACGTATTAATTGGGTCCTACAAAAAGTATTAATTGGGTCCTACATCACGTATTAATTGGGTCCTACAAAAGTATTAATTGGGTCCTACAAAAAGTATTAATTGGGTCCTACAAAAAGTATTAATTGGGTCCGACATCATGTATTAATTGGGTCCTACAAAAAGTATTAATTGGGTCCTACATTACGTATTAATTGGGTCCTACGTCACGTATTAATTGGGTCCTACAACACGTATTAATTGGGTCCTACAAAACGTATTAATTGGGTCCTACAAAAGTATTAATTGGGTCCTACAAAAAGTATTAATTGGGTCCTACATCACGTATTAATTGGGTCCTACAAAAGTATTAATTGGGTCCTACAAAAAGTATTAATTGGGTCCTACAAAAAGTATTAATTGGGTCCTACATCACGTATTAATTGGGTCCTACAAAACGCATTAATTGGGTCCTACATCATGTATTAATTGGGTCCTACAAAAAGTATTAATTGGGTCCTACAAAAAGTATTAATTGGATCCTACATCACGTATTAATTGGGTCCTACAAAACGTATTAATTGGGTCCTACAAAACGTATTAATTGGGTCCTACAAAGCGTATTAATTGGGTCCGACAAAACGTATTAATTGGGTCCTACATCACGTATTAATTGGGTCCTACAAAACGTATTAATTGGGTCCTACATCACGTATTAATTGGGTCCTACAAAACGTATTAATTGGGTCCTACATCACGTATTAATTGGGTCCTACAAAACGTATTAATTGGGTCCTACATCACGTATTAATTGGGTCCTACAAAAAGTATTAATTGGGTCCTACATCACGTATTAATTGGGTCCTACAAAACGTATTAATTGGGTCCTACATCACGTATTAATTGGGTCCTACAAAAAGTATTAATTGGGTCCTACAAAAAGTATTAATTGGATCCTACATCACGTATTAATTGGGTCCTACAAAACGTATTAATTGGGTCCTACAAAACGTATTAATTGGGTCCTACAAAGCGTATTAATTGGGTCCGACAAAACGTATTAATTGGGTCCTACATCACGTATTAATTGGGTCCTACAAAACGTATTAATTGGGTCCTACATCACGTATTAATTGGGTCCTACAAAACGTATTAATTGGGTCCTACATCACGTATTAATTGGGTCCTACAAAACGTATTAATTGGGTCCTACATCACGTATTAATTGGGTCCTACAAAACGTATTAATTGGGTCCTACATCACGTATTAATTGGGTCCTACAAAACGTATTAATTGGGTCCTACAAAACGTATTAATTGGGTCCTACAAAAAGTATTAATTGGGTCCTACATCACGTATTAATTGGGTCCTACAAAAGTATTAATTGGGTCCTACAAAAAGTATTAATTGGGTCCTACAAAAAGTATTAATTGGATCCTACATCACGTATTAATTGGGTCCTACAAAATGCATTAATTGGGTCCTACATCATGTATTAATTGGGTCCTACAAAAAGTATTAATTGGGTCCTACAAAAAGTATTAATTGGGTCCTACATCACGTATTAATTGGGTCCTACAAAACGTATTAATTGGGTCCTACAAAACGTATTAATTGGGTCCTACAAAGCGTATTAATTGGGTCCGACAAAACGTATTAATTGGGTCCTACATCACGTATTAATTGGGTCCTACAAAACGTATTAATTGGGTCCTACATCACGTATTAATTGGGTCCTACAAAACGTATTAATTGGGTCCTACATCACGTATTAATTGGGTCCTACAAAACGTATTAATTGGGTCCTACATCACGTATTAATTGGGTCCTACAAAACGTATTAATTGGGTCCTACAAAACGTATTAATTGGGTCCTACAAGACGTATTAATTGGGTCCTACATCACGTATTAATTGGGTAAATGACCGATACGGATGATGACGCGATGTGTTTTGGGAGAAAGTGACGTAATAGGTGTGGTGTGTGTGTATGGTGGAAAAGAGGGTGTTTTGTTTATTTTGGGTGTGTTGTTGACTTAATGTGTTAACATAGACATAATGTGTTGACATAGACATAATGTGTTGACATAGACTTAATGTGTTGACATAGACTTAATGTGTTGACAGAGACTTAATGTGTTAACATAGACATAATGTGTTGACATAGACGTAATGTGTTAACATAGACTTAATGTGTTGACATAGACTTAATGTGTTAACATAGACTTAATGTGTTGACATAGACTTAATGTGTTTACAGAGACATAATGTGTTTACAGAGACATAATGTGTTGACATAGACTTAATGTGTTGACATAGACTTAATGTGTTGACATAGACATAATGTGTTGACAGAGACATAATGTGTTGACAGAGACATAATGTGTTGACATAGACTTAATGTGTTGACATAGACTTAATGTGTTGACATAGACTTAATGTGTTGACATATACTTAATGTGTTGACATAGACTTAATGTGTTGACATAGACGTAATGTGTTGACATAGACTTAATGTGTTGACAGAGACTTAATGTGTTAACATAGACATAATGTGTTGACATAGACGTAATGTGTTAACATAGACTTAATGTGTTGTTGACATAATGTGTTGACATAGACTTAATGTGTTGACATAGACATAATGTGTTGACATAGACTTAATGTGTTGACAGAGACTTAATGTGTGAACATAGACATAATGTGTTGACATAGACTTAATGTGTTGACATAGACTTAATGTGTTGACATAGACATAATGTGTGAACATAGACATAATGTGTTGACATAGACTTAATGTGTTGACATAGACTTAATGTGTTGACAGAGACATAATGTGTTGACATAGACTTAATGTGTTGACATAGACTTAATGTGTTGACATAGACTTAATGTGTTGACATAGACTTAATGTGTCTACGACAGAATGCGATGGAACTCCGACAGTTAAAAGAGATTTGAAGACTTTAGAAAAAAAAAACTTTTAGCCGACGCTGTCATATTAATTAAATATTTTAACCTAATTACCTAATTAAAGGATTGGCTTGAATCAAAGGAATAAAAACACTGGAAATAAAAAGTTGAGCCGGTTGCTAGGCAACTAAAACGACAATTAAACAAACTGAAACTAGCGAGCAGCCTAAAGGTCAGCTTTTTATTTCATTCGCCTAGAGGGTATTGTGGCAGGAGTCTGTTAGATAGGGGCAGAGATGGGGCAGATATCTGATAGATAGGGGCAGATATCTGATAGATAGGGGCAGATATCTGATAGATAGGGGCAGAGATGGGGCAGATATCTGATAGATAGGGGCAGAGATGGGGCAGATATCTGATAGATAGGGGCAGAGATGGGGCAGATATCTGATAGATAGGGGCAGAGATGGGGCAGATATCTGATAGATAGGGGCAGAGATGGGGCAGATATCTGATAGATAGGGGCAGAGATGGGGCAGATATCTGATAGATAGGGGCAGAGGTGGGGCAGATATCTGATAAATAGGGGCAGAGATGGGGCAGATATCTGATAGATAGGGGCAGAGATGGGGCAGATATCTGATAGATAGGGGCAGAGATGGGGCAGATATATGAAGAACCTTGATTTGTAAATAAATTTGACTCATGGTTAATCATTTAAAAAACTTTCAGGTTAAACTTTTACACTGGTCAACTTTCAGGTAAATTCCCACACTGGCTAAACTTTCAATGACAACAGCTTGATGTTGTCGTAAGATCAAGTCAACGGCGCACAATGCCCCGCAGCTGCCCAGAGTCCGGCTGAATTTAAAACTCTCAGAACTTTTGGAGACATGAGATCTTGATACCATGTCCATACCTTGCCCCGCCTCTTTAATTAGACACTAATTAAATCCACGCCAATCTCTCACAGAGCAATGTCATTTGATGTGGTCTTATGTCATTTGATGTGGTCTAATGTCATTTGATGTGGTCTAATGTCATTTGATGTGGTGTAATGTCATTTGATGT